CATTAGACAAGTGGTATACTATGCGAGATCACCATCTCATTAATATTAGATAAGTATAGAAAACATTATTCAGTATGTACGACAAATATTGTATCTACGCGAATTCGATGAATATCCATATGTAACACTCAGTTTAAACATTGATCACCCTTATATTAGTAAGGCAGTGCTTCATTTATTTAATCAAATCGGGAATAATTAGGAAACGACTGTCCAATAAAATTTATGAAAAGTTCGTGTATGATACAACTATATGCAACGGAGGTACAATATGGAAAATGCCGTATAAGTGTGAAATAACGCTTGGGCGTTATTTTGAAAATCAGGTCCTTCAAAAATAACTCGAATTAGCGCTCATGGGCGTCCCGAATTAAAACAAACCTAATGTAGCACATAATTTATTATTGCGATTAATGATATACAGTCGATACTCCATATGCGCTCTCTATAAGTGTACTTCACATGCACTTTCTCTATAATGATAGGTGCATCAGTCTAATGTAATCATTTTAATACGTATTATCATATATATATTCATAAATGAATTATTCTATTAATGCACTTTTACCCACAACGTGCATTTATGGAAGGTTGACTATTGGATTTAGAAAATCTTCTCTTATTTCAAAATAGCACACATGGGTGTATTTGAAATAACGCGCAAGTGGGGCGTTATTTCGCGCTTATACGTACGGTATTACTAGACGAACTTTCAAAAAAAGCTCTTCCAATTTGTCTTATTGTTTTTTTTTAACAAAATTTTATAAGATTATTTGACATACCGAAAAATTTGGCAAAAGGTTGTGAAAAGACAAATCAATTTGCCGAAAGTAAGTTATTTATATTGATAATCAAAAAAATTTAATGTATATAACTATTTTTTTAAAAAAAAATTTTATTGGCTATGTTGATCAAAAAATATTACGTGTAATAAAAGGCGGATATATAAATTTATACTTTTTTGACAATTTTCACAATCTACATATAGAGGTCTGGATTGCTGTTATTTATAAATAAAATAATTGACTCACCCAATTTTATATGTAAATTAAAAGGATTTGTATAATTTATCTTCATAGCGATATGTCGCGTCCTATATGCGAAGTTTCACAAATCGTCAAGATTAATGATTTGTAAGCACATTTGAAACTCCGCATATAGGACGCGACATATTGGGGTGGGCTGTCAACTATGTAAATCAAAACTATGTGTGGTATCATATAAAGATTAATTATTGGAGATTTTTTTTTAATCTAATGATTGAGACAATAATCAGAGTGGCTTATCACTTTTATATAAGTTTTAAATAGCAAAGATCGATTCGGATATATTTAGATTCAGAGAACGAATTATATTATTTTTTCAAATGTTTTAGCATATATTAAAATAATTCATGTAATGCTTCAATGTTAGTATTTAAAAGTCAAATGGAAATTTAGTCAAGATTGAAGAAAAGAAAAAAAAGAAAATTTCTTGACGACGGCAAATTTTTATTTTAAAGCATAAAATTTTTTAACGTAACTTTGTTAGAAATATGTTTAAGATTGATTTCATGTTAAACAATTTGAAAAAGTAATATAATTCGTCCTCTATACAGTATCTAAAAATAGTTCTTTAATAATAGTAATCATATATCAACTAATCGTATATAAGCTGACAAGATCACCATACGCACTGCCGTGTTGTAAAAAGATCCTCGATAATGCAGTAATGGATTTTATACGATACCACATATACAGTAGGTTTGATCTAAATAGTTGGCAGCGCACCCCAGAGACATATCGCTATGGCGATAAATTATTTAAAAATACGTACAGGGTTATCGTAAATTTTAATCGGGAATAAAGGATCGATCACATGACACTCAATTAATCTCGTATTTATCTACTACTGTACTACAGTACTATCTGCGGATGACAAAATCCATAGAAATTCATTGAATAACCATGATGGATATACAAAATCCTCAAAGGATCTACCACCGCCAACGTCAATTTGATTAATTTGCGTCAGCTAATCAAGAGAAGCCTCATGTATCCCTAAATATGACCTTTTTACTATCTTATAAATTTATATACTCGGAAAATAACCAGACAGTACCTTTTTGTTAATCACTAAATGACATCCTGTTCAGGGACTTTTTTCACCCACCCGGTAATAAATAGTAATAATTAACGTTAAGGAATATCAAGAACCTAATTAACGTTTGAACCAAAAATCATTGGAAAAAATTGGGACTAACCCATAATGCACTCTCTAATTGACTTCTGTGACTTCATATTATAAATAATTAGATAAGTGCGACCGGTCTATAATAAATATGAAAGTTCTTTGAAACGTTTCTATACCTGACATATGATGATCGACTAATCATATATATATATATACAAGTGCGATGTATCAGTATATTTTTGTACAAATATATTATAGAGTTGCGGTATCGACATTGTTTCTTACGTAGCGCTAGATGATAATCCCTAAATGATAAATAAAATAGCATTACTCAAATTGGTTGGTTACACAACATGCTTAATTTTTAAAATGCAGGTTAATCCTTATAAATATTATTTAGACTTCATCTCCTTTTTTTTCAGTCGTTGATTACAAATTTTTATTTCAATAATGTCCGCCCGAAATACTCTAGAACTCGTTTCTACAAAGCTCGCAATTTTACGAACTTTCGTAGAATACTTTAATTCTCCACGATTGATATATCTTAAAAACTTTATATTCGTTTTAGTAGTGTATCGCTATGGAAGAATTCTTTTAAATAAACTTGCAGTTCAAGGTGTTCGACGTACCCTTGGTGACTTTTATAAGATTGTTGCTGGCACCATATTAAAAATTGTTGTAAATGCTCCGGTTGCAAAAAAGACGATTCGAGCCAATATCGATAAAACCATTAAGGAGCTTGAAGAAAAAATTGCTCCCAAAGAAGGATTGCCACGTTATCTTTACTTACCAGATATTGGATTTGATGATCAACAAGTTAAGGAAGAATTAAAAAGGTTTGTTTCTTTAATAAAATAATTCATTTTATTCCATTTGCTATATCATGTTTTTGTTTTGATTAAATCAATGATAGATCAATAAAAAGTTCTTATATTACAGATATCAAGACATGAAAAGTGTAGATTGGGAAGATGGTCGTTTGTCTGGTGCTGTCTATAATGGGGGCCGTGAACTTTCAAAACTGATATCTGAAGCATATTCCATGTTCTGTGTAAGCAATCCTTTGCATCCTGATGTATTCCCTGGAGTACGTAAGATGGATGCAGAAATTGTTGCTATGGTATTAGACTTATATAATGCTCCAAATGATGCAGGTGGCACTACTACTTCTGGTGGTACTGAAAGTATAATTATGGCATGCAAGACTTACCGAGACTGGGCGAGAGCCGAAAAAGGAATAACTGAACCGGAAATGTAATATTTTTTTGACGATTATATCTTTCATAATTATTTGATATGATTACTTAGTATAAATGATTGAATATTAGGATTATGCCGGATACTATTCACGCAGCCTTTGATAAAGCTGCAGGTTATTTAAATATCAAGTTGATCCACGTTCCAATTGACCCTGTCACACTCAGGGTTGATACTAAGGCTGTGAGCAGAGCAGTCAACAAAAACACAATTCTGGTAGGAATAATGGATTAAAAAAAAAAAACCACGATTACAAATTTATTGATAAATTTAATATAATTATAGATCGCGGGATCCGCACCAAACTTTCCTCACGGTATTATTGATGATATTCCTACTCTAGCGGGAATTGCTGATAAATATAATATTGGAATGCACGTTGATTGTTGTTTGGGCAGTTTCATAGTACCATTTTTAGAGGAAGCAGGATTCCCTGCTCAACTCTTTGATTTCAGAATAAAAGGGGTTACTTCAATTTCATGTGATACACATAAGGTATGAAACTTTCACATATTTAATATTCTGTAATTCGTATCATAATACACATTTTATTCATTTTGTTTATATCCTATTACTAAATTTAATAGTACGGATTTGCACCAAAAGGTTCTTCGGTAATTATGTACCGCTCAAAGACTTTGCGTAGATATCAGTATTTCTTTGCACCCGACTGGACAGGTGGGATTTATGCATCTCCTTCAATGGCAGGTTCACGGTAATTGTTTATTTTCGTAATCTATTTGAATCGGATTGTATCGGTATTCACACCATTTCTTTGATTATATAGTCCTGGAGCAATCCTTGCTGGGTGTTGGACGGCTATGATGAGAATGGGTAAAAACGGATATATTGAATCAACGAGGAAAATAGTAGGATGTGCAAAAAAGATTGAAGCTGGGTATATATTTCATATAATTCAGTATATTTAAATGTGTTGACAATTTTAATAGAATTACTAAATTAACATATTTACTCTATTTCAGTATTCGTAAGATAGACGATTTATTCGTATATGGAAAACCCCTAGCATCAGTAGTAGCATTTGGTTCAAAAACTCTTAACATTTATGACATAAATGATAAAATGTCGAAAAAAGGTTGGAATCTTAATGCATTACAAAGTCCACCAGCGGTTCACATCGCATGTACTCTGTTAACTGTACCAAATGCTGATCAATTTGTGACGGATTTAAGGGATTGTGTCAATGAGGTTAAATCAAATCCAGAAAGGTCGAAAGATGGGACTGCAACTATTTATGGTTTGGCGGCTACTCTACCCGATAAAGGCATTGTTAATGACATTGCTTGTGGATTTTTGGACGCATTATACTCTGCTTAGGATGTACTATTATGCATTAAATATTTTTACATTGAACAATAGCATTATTATTTATGCAATACTTATTTGATATATATTTACTGTATATGTAAAAATTTACCTAATAAAAAAAAAAAATCATTATCATACTGAACAAACATTAAATGAAAAAATAGTATATCAAAAACCTACGTTAAAATTAATATTAATCAGTTCACTTTTAAATAGTATTAAACAAAAATCAAAAGACATGTTTAATAATAATACTCACAACATTCGCAATCAAATGGGCACAGCGGTGTATCTATAAATTCAAAAAGAAAAAAATAGGGATGTTCGGCAAATGCAGAAATATGAAATAAAAATGATATAATCCGTCATGTGGATTTCATACCTCCACCATTACCAATATTTAATTCGTTAATATCATAAACAGCAAGACCATCTTCCGTTGTCTTTCCTTTTTTATCGATAAATATATATTACTTTAGTACATTTACTATTGATACTTTAAGTTATATTATTAATGTGACAGAAATAAAGCACATACGACTCTTTGTGCCTCTTGAATCGCTAAATCCGTCCGTATCGTTTTCTCGTAATTTTTTATTTCTTGATTTATCAGGTATAGCAGGAACTTTAAATATAAATTCTTTCTTCGAAGAATCAATCTCAGTAAATGAAGTCGAAGAGGCATGTGAAGAGGTATGTGAAGATGAAGGAACGACTTTTAAATCATTTTCTTGTAATTTTCTTTTTTTTTGATTTATCTGGTATAGCTGGAACTTTGAATTCAAATTCTTTAGTTTTTAAAGATTTTTCTTTTTCTTTAATTGAGGGATCAACAACGGTTGATAAAGTCGAATTCTTCATTAAAGGAGGAAGAGGTAAAGTTGTAGGAGTAATTACTTTACTTTTCGCCATTGAAAATATTTCATCAATCTCGTCTTTAACATTTTTATCGCCTACTGATTTAATGGGCGGATTTAAATCATCTTTATTTTTTAATTTCTGTGAACCTTTTTTAAGATTAGTTGTAGTGTTATCATCATTTGTGATTTTTTTCTTGGAAGAATTCATCATGGTCTGAGATCGTCCTGAGATGCAAAAAAAATCATTGTTAACGTATATGAAATCTTCACGTGACACACTTATGTTATCATACCGATACTGGTTATACAGTTGCCTAAGTTATTTTTTAAATTTCACCTAACATTTCGTCATTGATATACGTATAACTATATGAATTCCACAAAATAACTATACTATACAGAAACTTGAATTTCTTAACGGTTAAATTTAATATAATTATGTAACTACTACGTCGTTACAGTTACTGCGTATTAAGATATTTAAGCTTCTGTAATGTACCATCTGGTATATGGAATTCAAATAATTTCACCAAAAATTCGGCAACAATGAGAAGTTTCGCCACTAAGAATTCGATTTTGACAAATTAATATTGTTGAAATTTTTAATTACTGTAATATAGTATTAATAGGAGTAATTTAGATACCCACGGCATAGTAAGGCGTCAGTTAATCATTCTTTTATTATTGCAGACATATAGTAATAAAATTCTGACGGGTTAATACGTACGTACGTACGTACTAGCTGCTACGTTATTACAAATAAATATCGATATTTGGTTAAATCTTGGGTCAATGTGTAACCAATCAGAATGGACTAAATACTGAAATATTGTTACTATTGTTTAGGAGAGCGATGGTGTTATACGGGCAATTTAGCTCCAATAGTTAACGTTAAAGAAATTTATATGTATTGTTAGTCGATAATTTAAGCACGTGGGGTCTATGATTTAGGGCCCGTATTTCTGTATTTAAGCACAATAATTCAAATGTCCAAAAAAAACTTTTTATCCGATGGCGTAATACGCAGTAATCGGCCGATTGAGATCTAAATTTGGATAATGTCACTACAAGCCCCGATGTTACATTCAAACACATATATATAAATGCCTGAAATTATTTGAATCTCAAATTTTAACTACACGATAAAGAAAAAAAAAAAAATATGGCGCCACCACGAGATTTTATTCCTTCATATTTACGAGATAGTCCAATTTCCTTGCTAAATAAAAGATCAGTAACTTCTATACCATTACCTACTCGTTGGAATCCCCATGATCGGGCTCCTTATGTTTCAGTTTTGGAAGATGGCGTTAGTCTTGAATATATTGGTACACAAGAATATAGTAAATTAGTTTCATCGATATATTTACATTTATAGAGCAAGTTCAAGATCGTGTTTTAACATTATTATTATTATTACTTTTTCCTTATTAAAAAAAGGGCCAGGAAGGAATTGGATAGATGCATCTTCGATCCGAACGGATTCTCCCGTTCTTCCAGATGTTGGTTTATATTATTTTGAGATCAAAGTTATTGATAAGGGAGAGCGTGGGTATGTCACAGAAGTACAACCTTTTTTGAATTGGCTTATGGTTTGATGCACAGGCTAATATAGGTTTTTAAATTTGCTAGATGTATTGGAATAGGACTTACCAAAGGACATATTCCTCTTGATCGGATGCCAGGTAAAACATTAATGCACTAACTAAATATGAATTTGACTACATTGCCGAAGTGAAATATTGATTTATCTTTCTATGTATCTTAATTTCATTATAGGATGGGAACAAGAATCAATAGGATATCATGGAGATGACGGATTGCTTTATCTACAAAGTGGTCGTGGTGATAAGTATGGTCCTTTATACACTACCGGGGATACTGTTGGTTGTGGAATAAATTATTATGATAAAAGCATATTTTTTACAAAAAATGGAGTCAATTTAGGTATGTTAAATTGCTTATTATTTTGAACACAAGATTTTATTTTATTAAATATAGTTAATAATTTTGCCTCAAAAAAAAAATTTTAAAAATAAAAATAGGTGTAGCATCAAAAGCCATATTTGAAGGAGAAATGTATCCAATAGGTGGAATGATAAGTCCAAATGAACGTATTGAAGCCAATTTTGGAGAAAAACCTTTCAAGTATGATATAGACACTTATGCAAAGGTATTTTTTATGCAACATATCATATATCATCTATTTTTGTTTATTATTTATTTGTTTATTTATTATGACTATTTATTGATCTATTGTTTTATACATAATAAATATTCACTTTAATATAGCATGTTTTTACGCAAGCTGCTGCTAATAAGATTAAAGAAGAGAAAGCAAAGTCAAGTGAGCAGACATCTGAAGTTATCGAGACAGAGAGCCGTGAACATGTTGAAGATAATGGACAAATTATAAGTTCTGAACAGGTTGATGACACTGAACAAAGTCTATAGTGATGAACCGAATCCAATAATGAAATTGATAATCATTCACAACTATTAAACAGAATAGTCATTATAATGTAATATTTATTAAAGACATGATTAACAGTAAAACTAGAATAAAATTTTGCATAATATTTAAAAAATTTACATTTAAATAAGATGCTATATGTATTAAACTATTAAATTATTCATTTACATATTTTGAAGTTAAATATCAGTTATAATTTATGTTATGCTATTTGCTTATCATCAAATAACGTAGCGTGATTTCATATAAAATATTAAAAAAGCAAATGAAATACCAATATAATGACGAAATCACCCATAAAATTTGCTTAATAATGTACTAACTTTAAAATGACCATATTACTTTCAAAAACACTTCGAAGTAATATTAAGTATTGAATTCTTTTCATCATATTTTATGTTCAATACAATTTAATACGTATTTATTACGCTACCAATGATTGTCAATAATAATAACTTATGATGATAATGACTATTAAATTTACAAATAATTAATTATTTTTATAATTAAACATATATCATAAAATTCTCAAAATAATGGGCATTTACTTGTTATTCGGTCACCTGCGCGCTTTTTCAAATAAGTTCATGAGCATTATTTCAAAATTTGGTTGTTACTATATGTGGTGAGGTCAATAGAAAACAGGCAAATTTTTTTTAAGTAAAATTTTTTAAAACTTTAAATTGAACCAACTTAACAATTATCAAACTAAATTTAATAAAAATTTTTTTTATACAAATTCTACATAGTTATTGATCAAAATAAAAAAAAAATTTATTAAATTTGTTTTGATAATTGTTGAAATATTTTAATTTAAAGTTTAAAAAAAATTTACTAAAAAAAATTTGCCTGTTTTCTATTGACCTCCCCATATTATAAATCCTCGTTATTCGGGATGTGCATAGAATATTTTTTTAGGGGATTAATTAATGTCTGCCATTTCGATAATTTATAGTATATTATTAAGTTTTTTATTTTAATTAAAAAATAAAAAAATTTTTTAATAATATTAAGAAATCTAATTTTTTACAGATAGGATTTAGGCTTTGTACTAGGTTTTTTACAGTTTATAAATAGATTAAATTTCTAAAAAATCATAAATATGAGATATAAACAATGCTAATCTTTTGAAGGAGGTAAGCCAAATTCTCACTTTTTTTGAAATTTTTAAAAGACCAACAGGAAAGTGAAAATAAGAAATGGAGAAACCACTTGAGACGAAAGAAAGAATATGGTTTAAAAGCAATATATAATTTGTGTTTCTCCTATATTCTTCTTTGAAGTAACAGCCTACAAGCTTTATTAACAATACTAGTTATCCCCACTCACTACTAAGATTTTTTATACAAAGATACCTCGGCTAGTTATCTTGTTTAATAATGTTCTTGGCTTACATGCCAAATATCCCTTATAGAGAAGTCCCAGTATAGCAGAATATTAACTTTTAGACAAACCACCAGTAGGCCACAACTCTCCAATAAATTTTTCTGTTTTTCTATTAGTAGAAATTTTAGTTCAAGTAATCATTAGAAAGAGTTGTTAAAAATATTAATTGATTATTAAAAAATTATTTAGTTATTAATTTTTGAAATATTATACATATCAGCAGATTTTTGGAATTTACTATTAAAAATTTCAAAAATATTTAACAGCGAATAACTTTTGATCCACTGATTCGTTTTCGACAAAACAATTACCAAAAGTTTTGTCTTGGTGAGACGATTCTAATAGATACAAAATTGCCAAAATCTAATCAAAGAATCCTGATATCTTTGATGATTTGGTTCACTTCAAGTGGTTTAACTAATTCTAAAACACCTGAAGCGATGCAAATCTCTACTGATCTCAGGGTTCTGTAATTGGATTTTGGCAATTTTGCATCCATTGGAATCATCTCAACAAGATGAACATTTTGATAATTGTTTCATTAAAAACGGACTAGTGGATTAAAATTTATTCACTGTTAAATATTTTTGGAATTTTCAATAATAAATTTTAAAAATCCGCCAATATGATATATATTTTTTTGGTATTAAGATAATCTTATTAGCCTGAGAAACTTTTTATTAGAGTATAGACAACATTTTATATTATAGTTATAATGATAATACATCAAGCTATACATGTACTTTTGGTGCCTATTTTAAGTGGTCTGTCTGAAGTGTTAGTGCTATGCTAGAGGTTCCACACTATTTACTTTATCTGCACTCTAACTATGGAAGTTGCTCATTTAAACCATCTAGTTACTGGTTTTAATACTTTATGATAATATTTTCATATAAGCTGCAGAATCTGATAAAAATAACTTTGGTAAAAGTATAAGAAATTTTAAATTTAACTAAAATTGTTAATAGAAGTCCACTAATTGATGAATTATTTACATGATTTAAAAAATTAACTAAAACTAATTTGATATCTTGACAAAAAGCAAAAAGAGTATTTACAATGCTGCATAAACAATTGTCTGTAGTTTTATCTATTATAATTACAACAGGTTTTTGATTAAAAGTTTTTGAAGTGAGGAAAAATGATTATCAAAAACTTGTAGTAAATATACCTGATGAAGTGTAAAGGATTAAGGAATAGCATCACCTTTTTTAAGATATTTTTTTAAAAAAAGAAATAAGCTATCTACTTTTTCAAGAGGAATATTAGCAAATAATTAAATTTTCTATAACTTCTTTTCTTAATATATTTGTGGTTTGGCTGCAGTAAATATGACTTGTCTTTTGAATCATTATTTACTTTCATAAGCTTGCTTGTTCTTAATATGTGTTTTTGAGTTACAATGCTCATTATAGTAGACTTTATTTTCCATTCAACAGAATAATCATAATAATTACAAAACATAATTCCTTTATCTTCTCTAAAAACATTGAGATATTCTTTTAAATAAGTAGCTATAGAAACTTTTATTTGTTATATTGATATTGTTAAAAAAAAAACCTCCTGCATTGCAAGTTTTTATATCTAAAAACTTTTTATTTAAATTACTTTAAGATAGTTTTATATTTTCAAATTCTAATATTATCTTTTTAACTGTTTTTTAGACAAATTTGTCTAAAATTTTGAAAAGTATTTACAATTTATTAAATAAAATTAAAAAATATTAAATTTATTATAAATCTTTAGAATAATAAAAATTTAAAGTTTTTGTTTTAAAAATTTTTACTATAAAAATTTTCTTTAAAATTTCTAAATTTTTATATATTTTCATCTTTAAAAAAATTTTTGCTTCTAATACAAGTTTTAATTATTATTATTAAATCACTAAAAGTGTAATAATGAAAGCTGCCATCCTTTATATAAGCTATAATATTGTATTAAGAATTATAGGTTTAAAATTAATATTTAAAGAGTTTGTCAAGAATTTGTAAATAATTTTTTTGGTTAAAAATTTTTTCTAAATTTGTTTATTTTTAGCTTATAAGCAACCAAACTTTTTTTCTTATAATATAAAATTAAATACTACTATAATATAATTCTTATTTTCAAATATAATCAAAAAAAAATTTATTTAAATATTTTAGATTTTAAAAAAAGTAGATTATAAGCAAATTTATAGTAATTTTCCAGACAAATTTGCCTGGAATTGCTCTATAGTTTAAAGGATAATTATATATTTTTTTAAATTACTTATTAATTAGTTAAATATAGGATATAAGCTTGGATGATTTTAGACAATTTTGGACATTGGACATTTTACAGAGTGTGAACATGTCCCATATACAACACTGATAATAGGTGCTTGTAGACAAACTATTGTATTCAATATCAAGCTTTATAGAGTATTTATGAAGTTTTAGTGAATTGCATTTAATTTTGTTTGCTGCTATTGAATATATTAGAAATTTGAAATTTATTGTTATAAAAAAGTTAAGTGCAAAAAATTAAGCATAAAAATTTTAAAATTAGTGATTACAAATCAACAAATATTATTTAGTTAAATTTTAATTAATACTAATGTATAAATAATAATTTATTATTGTTATTGATAAGTCTAATATAGAGTTCCGAACTGGTTTATAATAACCTGGGTCACCCATGTTAAAATGGGTGACCCAGGTTCAAAAATTGTAACCCAGGTCAAATCAGGTTAGATATGTTATTAACCAAATTTGATATAATGCATTAAAAATGTAACTTTTTTCACACCAACATTACCGATAATAAAAATAGATTGGATTAATTTTTTTTTTTTTTGATCTCGCTTTTTTTTTTGATCCTTTTTTTTTTTGTTAAGCGATTTCTAACAAGATTGTTTTTTTGGTTTCCTACTTTTTTTTTGCATTTTTTAATACTTCCGGTAGTATACAATAATACTTAGCTATCTTTATTTCTTAGAAATTAATCCAAATAATCATCTTTTTTTTAGAGATTTTTTTTTGTGTGACTTCCAATACTATACCAAGACAAAAATTTCCTTGCCATACTATATATATATATATATTGGTTCTCTACCTTTTTTTTTTGCGCAATTTCAATATTTCCAATACTTTAAAACCAGATACAATAATATCTCTTTTATCTTAACTGGTTTTTTTTTATAATGAGTGATAATGAAGGCGATAATGAGCATAATGCTTATGAATTTCCAGAAGAACCTATATCTTTTGAACTTCTAGAAGAATCTACATCTTTTGAACTTCTAGAAGAATTTGCATCCTTTGATTCGAATTATAAGGCCAGCAATAATGTATCTATTAGTTCTAGTAGTGCGGCTCCTCTTTTAGAAGAACAATCTCCTAGTATAAAAAAGAGGAAATTAAATTATCAGAATTTTAAGCGGCAATATGTGAAGTTTAGTTGGGTGTGAAAATATTTTAAGCAGAGTAAAGATGGAATATACGATGTGTGTAAAGTCAAGGTGATGAATTTAAGTGATAAAGAAGTTGAGTATGATCATAAATTTATTTATGATGATAGTACGAGAAATATGTGCAGCCATCTTCAAAGTAAGCATGATCTATATGAAAATCAGAATAAAGTAAGTTTTATATTAATTAATGTTTAATATTTAATGAAATTAATTATTAGTAAATGCAGTATTTAATATTTATATGATTATTGTATAGAATCACGATTATACTATTCAACAGACAATACCTAAGGTCTTTGAACAAGTGAAAGTTATTAAAATGCATAAAGAATCTTGAAATCGTGAAATTTGGCAAGCTATCACTGAGTAGATTGTTGTTGACAATATGTTATTTAACATTATTAAAGGAAAAGGTTATCAGAAAATGATAAAGATTATTGACTTAGCCTTTCGTCTTTTTACTAATAAGAGAATAAAAAAGGAAATTATTAGTAACTATCCAAATGCAGTTAAAAACTTAAAAAAACTATTGGATAATACATGTGAATCAGCGTCTTTAACGCTTGATCTGTGGACCTCTAGGAGTAAGCATGGGTATATAGGCATAACACTCCATTGGTTATTGAATGATTTTAGAGTATATGATTGTTTTCTCTATATAGAGTATATGCCATATCCGCATTCAGCTAAGAATATAATTTCAATTTTAAAAAAAAAAGTTTTTGAATTTGGGTTAGACAGAAAGATTAGTTGTGCTATAACAAATAATGGCAGTAATATGGTTAAGGCAATTAGCTTGTGGGAAGAAATTGAACATTTGCCCTGTGTAGCTCACACTTTGCAGCTCTCAGTTACATATGCTTTTAAAAAAACAAATTTTTATATTAAAAGAATAAAAAAATTAATTCGATTTTTTACTAAATCTCCGAAGCAAAGTGAGCGCCTAGATAATGCATAATGAGAATATCAGCAGCATTTGCAAACTCAAAATAGTAATTCAACTGATATATCAAGTCCAAATGATAGTGATTTGGATGACTTGCTAGCAACTTCTGAAGAACCTATTCTACGAAGCATTGCAGATATTAAGACTTGGTAGAATTCGAAATACCATTCATGGAAGCGGCTGCTTAAATTGCGTAAAGCAATTGAATGGTTAAATACAACACTACCTTTATCTGAGAATTTAGATGATAGAGCCGATGGTTGAAAGCTAAAAAAACTACTTTTATTACTCTATAAATGAGATTTATTAAGTCAAATTATAACTTTAATGGAACTATTTGACGACACTACTACTTATTTTAGTGGCTTGAAGTATGCTACTTTATTAATTATTTACTCTTTAATTCAAGCTCTTAAATACACCTTCACTGATATTGAAATAATAGATAATATTTTAATTAAAGAGGGTAATTATAATTAGTAGGATTCTGCAAGTACCAGGCATAGTACTAAAAAACATAATGTCTAGCATGCAGGTACTATGTTTTTTAGTACTATGCCTGGCATTTACAGAACTCTAGTTATTAGTATAATATTAGTAATAAGTTTAACAATTTATTATATTTAGCAGATATGCCAAATTTTTGTCATGAAGAATCATCTAATGATGATAGCGAAGAGTCAGATATTGATACTTTAGAAGCTCTAACAAACTATCGCCAAATACATTCTTCGGGAGTTACTTCTACTGATTCAACTAACAATTTACAAAATGCCAAAGTGATCAATACAATGAAAAATATCATTTATAATTCCCTGTTTGATTACTGGAATGAATTTGTAATGACTGGTTTATTAGCATCACTTTTGGATCTCCACTTAAAAACACTTTCTAGTTGGGACGATATAACTCAAGAAAAAGCTAAAGCTAAGTTAACATGCCAATTTGAGTTATTAATTGCTTCAAATAATGAACAAACAATGGCTTCAACAAATATAACTTCAAAAAATAGTAATATTCTCCGTAGGCGATTACATTTTTCAATTTTTGGTACTTCAAATAATATTACATCTAGTCCTTTAGATGAATTAGAATGTTACTTGGATTCTGTACGAACTCATATTGCTGAAGATAATGAAAACCCATTTGAATGGTGGGCAAATTGGAAAACAAAATTTCCTAATATAGCAAAATTAGCTCAAAGATACTTATCTATTCCTGCATCTTCTGTGCTTAGCGAAAGATTATTTTCAGATGCAGGTAATCTTATTACTGCTAAGCGCAATCAACTAAATCTAAAGCTTGTAAGCAAAATTATGTTTATGAAAAAAAATTCTGATGTAATTTTATTGTTTTAGATTTTTTAGTTAATAAAAAAATTTTAAAATCATATATATTACCAATTAGATTTTTTGTAGGTTAAATTTAATAAATAATAAATAATAGCCCAAAGTCTAATTATCTTTTAGTAGTATTTATTTAATTAATTTACAAGATAAAAAAAGAAAATGTAAATAAATTAAACATTTAATATACTAATTACAAATAAGATATTATTATAATATTGAAATATTAAATTGTTATATAGTATCTACTTAGTTATTTGTCTGTTTTTTTTTAGGTTTTTTAATTAATATACATAACCCGGTTTCACTCGGGTCACCCGATTTTAATTTATATGGGTGACCCGGATCAGAAAATTGCATCCAGGTCTGATCTCTAGTTTAATAATTGTCTTACTCTGGCAACACCAGGGAATAGGATTGATTTTACTGTCACATGATTTTCCGACGTCTATCAGCCAATTAAAATCCAGGATTATGTGTAATATAAAAAAATCAAAACAAACGTTTGCTTTACAAAAAATGCATTTATCTTGATATTTAGTCTAGTAAACTATCTTTGAAGCTCTAATAAAAAAAATTCTTTGTGCAATTTTACTATATAACTGCTCTTTCTAATCCTCTCAAACTCTAACCCAGACATAAACAAAGTTTTTTAGATTTGATGATATCTGTTTCCGACTATCACGTGACAGTAAAATCGATCCTACGCCCTGGTGTTGCCCACACAACCAGGTCACTACGACTCTCCCGTAATGTCCTTCGGACAATTACCGCATAACCACGAAATAACGCACAGGGGCATTATTTTGAATTTTGGCCCGAATTAAGTTTAATTTAGGCCGAAGTTTGAAATTACACCCCTGCGCGGTTATACGGTAAAATTAATTTGCAGTATTAATATGGTTGTCGCATTGCCGAATTGTCACATCACCAAAAGCAGTGTGAAAAGGCGGATTTAGGATGATTAGTTTTTATAGATAAAATAAAATCTAAAATTAAGGCTACTCGAATGAAAACGTAAGATTTGCTTCGAAGGACTAAGTTCTTCAGTGTTATTATTAGATGGTCTTTATTAATTATGTTTCTTTCTTACCTTTAGTTACATGAAATCGATACATAATGGATCACATTGAGACTATTAGAATCTCCAAGCAATTTGACTAATTAAAGTTTCAGGGTGAATTCTATAACTAACGGTGAGTAATTCATACTCGAGTCAACCCGAATTAACATTTATCAAATGCCTTTTCTAGATCGAAACGCATTTAAGGTCTCACATCTTCGATTAATGATCACCAGTCACATGGAATTCACGTTTTTCTGCTACAACGTACGTACGTACGTACAATAAGTTGAAAAGGGGAAATGACATCTGGAGCTATCTATCACACGAATAATAATTAACAGCTATACTGCCTAAAAACACTATACTAAACCCTAATAATAGAATTGAAATGTAGAAAGTTTTGGCCTAAGTATAGTTTATACAGAATTCAAAAAAAGATATTTCAACAATACAGCAATATTTTTTGATTATTTCCATTGTCAAAATTTCCTTTTGAATCCGTGTAATATGATATGTGGGATATAGTTGTACAATCTGTGGCTTCTTCAAATTTCTGTTCAAATTTTGCAGATTTTTTTGTCTCTCATCGTGGGAATAGTCCGCTTCGTGCAAATACCAACCATGCCAATTTTGCAGTCTTGGCTAGTGTTTCGAATAATTCGGATCCGACGGATCGGGTTGGGCCATAAATTTCGGATTGTCCAGATTAAACCTAATTGAGATTTGGGTCCAGTTTTTTTAAATATTGGAGAATGGACTAGGAAAACCAGTCTTTGCGGATAGTTTGAATTTTTAGAAAATGCGATTGTTTTGTGCTGCACATCTTAAAAATTTTTATGTAACTAGATATGTGTATTCGGCGACTTCGTCGCCAGGTTTGTTGTAAAGTTGTTTATATATATGCAAATTTCTTTGTGTATTTATAAGTAAGAGTTTTTTTTTTTTTAAGATGGTTCAAAATTTATTCGCAAAATTATGTGATTAATAAAAATTTTAACTGACATTCTAGCTGTTTTGATTATGTAATTAACAATTAGACGTAAGAAATTTTAAGCGTCAATCACTATCTAGAATAATATGTTGGAATTACATGTATTCTACAAATAATTTTGAAACTCGCATTATGTTATTTAGATAAATGATTTTCTCTGATGGCACAATTGCTACAAAGTTATTTAAGCATCGTACTCGCTAGTGCAGTACACTTAGTAGTTAAGGTTGTGTTAGTTTGTATCATAATTATAAAATTAATAGAATTTATATCACGAGTCACCGTAAAAAATTCTGTTACTTGCTATTCTGGTGATTACAGTATTTGGTTAAGGTTGAGTTACTGTAAAAATTTCTGGTTTAGAGATCATTTGCTATTCCAGTATGTAGTTAAATGAGTTGATTTGCATTCGAATTATCGCGATTTTTTATGTAATTAAGGTTGGATTAGTTTGTATTGAAAATATCATAATTTTTATTCGAGTTACTACAAAACACTTTGTTACGAATTTGCTGTTTCGATAACTACGGTAGGTGGTTAATAACGAATTAGTTTGCATAGTAATTATCATAATTTCTATGAGCTACTAAAATATAATATTACTGAAATTGCCATTTAATGGTATGTGATTAATATCGGGTTGGTTTGCACCGAAATTATTGTGATTTCTGTCATGAGTTACCGTAACCAATTCTGTTACAGAACTTGCTCGCTATTCCAGTGACTACAGTATGTAGTTGAGTTAGCTTACATTAGAGTTATTGTGATTTCTATGTAGCTAAGGTTAAATTAGTTTTTTGAGTTAGTTGTATTAGATTTATCGTGATCTCTACGTAATTATAGTTGAGTTCGTTTGTATTGAATTATATTTCTATTATAAATTGCCATAAAACATTTTGCTCCAGAAATTACTTGATTTCTATTCTGATAACTACAGTATGATGTTAAGGTCAGATTAGTTTGATTAGAATTATTTCAAATTTTCTGTGAGTTATTGTTACCAATGTTACAGAACTTGCTATCCTGGCGACTACAGAATGTGGTTAAGAGTTGTGGTAGCTTGTATTGAGATTATTGAGATTTCTATTTAAATAAAATTGAATTAGTTTATATTACTGTATTAGGTTTTTTGTGATTTATATCGCAAAATTCTGTTACAGAACTCACTTGTTATTGTGATAGCTACAGTATGTGGTTAAGGTTGAGTTGGTTTGCATTGAAATTATCGCTATTTTTATCTTGAATTATTGTTATAAATCTTACATGCTATTCTAGTGACTAATATTGGTTAAGGTTGAATTAGTTGCATTGGATATCTATCAAAAAATTCTGTTACAGCGGTTAAGGTTGATTTAGAATTATCCTGATTTCTATGAGTTGCTGTAAATCCAGTAACATATAATATGTAGTTGAGGTTAAATTGTTTCATTGAAATTATCATAATTTCTGTCATTAATTACCGTAAAAATTCTGTTAGAAAATTTCAGGTGACCACGGTATGTGATTGAGTTAGCTTTATTGTTAAAAATTCACTTGCTATTTTGGTGATCGCAGTATGCGATTAGGGCTGAGTTTGCAAAAAATTTTGTTACAGAGAGACCTCTCTAAATGCACTCTCTATAAATGCACTCTCTATGTAAAATCTCTTTAAATGCACTGTATAGTCTGGTCTCAGCTTATAATAGTACTATATATTTTGCTCTCTATAAATGCATGCCCTCTCTAAGTGCACATTTTTGAAATTTTTTACTATGGTCCCGAGGGGGTGCATTTAGAGAGGTCTCTCTGTATAGAACTTATTTAGTTTGCATTGCAATTGTTGTAAAAAGTTTGTTGCAAAATTAATTCGCTATTTCAGTGTACATAGTATATATGTCAATATTTGAATGATCGTGATTTCTAACGTGAGTCATATAAAAAACTCTAGTACAAAACACTAATACATGTTATTAATGTTATCCATATCCATAACCTAGCCAAAGACGCATAAAACACAAAAGTCGATTTATATTAATAAAATAAGCTATATACATCGTAACGTTATCTGTGAAATTATTTTTGTGCTAACTGATAAAACCCCTGACAATCCTGACAATTGACGAATTGCCTAGTACCCTTGCCATGGAGAAAAAAAGTGAGATTCTACTCGAACTATCAAGCTCTGATTGGGCGAAATTTACGATCCTCAATAACAGTATTATATATTTTTTAAAATCGATGAAAATTTTTATTTTAATTTTATGAATTCATGGAATTAAAATAAAAAAATTTCTTTAATTTTTAATATATAGTTACTGAGATATCTTAGAACAAATTTTGGAAAGAATAGCCATATCTTTGTTTTGATAATACTTTTGTTTAAAATTTTTTTTGAGCTTTAAACAAGGATAGGATATCTTGATAACTGCCTATCTAAAATCAATGAATTTTTTTTATTCAGATTCTATGAATCCATAGAATTAAAATAAAAAAATTTTATTTTTTTTTTATTTTTTTTTTTTAAATTGTCAATGGGTCTGGCCATGACTACTCTTATTTATTAATATTTATAATAATATAAATACATAGAAATGTAAAGATAAAGTCTGGCACTACTCAGTTCCATATTGTGGTGCAAAAACCTAGCTCAGGCCTAAGTTGTGACTCCATCCTACCAGATCATAGATGACTGGAATTATCCAAAAAAAAAATTCTATAAAAAACAAAAACGAACTATGACTAAAAAGGAAAATAAACAAAAGAGAGAAAAGGGAAAGAGTGAAGTAAATAAAAAATAAAAAAACACAAAAAAGAAAAAACGGGAAAATAAAAAAAAAAATTTTATAGAACAAGGATAAAGTCGAAAGAAATTGCACCTCTTTTCATAACAAGGATATACTATTATAACCTGTGCAAGGCTGAAAAAATTATATAACAAATGCAACGATTGTATATCTCTAGTGTAAAGCTTTGCCTTAACATTAAAAGTTCTTTCGACTTATAACCGCTTTCGGATATCTCTTTAACCGGAGGCCCCAATCTAACTTCCTCGGAGTAGCATCATATTTGTAAACAGATACATCACGTGGTTGCATTCTACTAAGTCCGTCCAAATTTGGAAAGTAAACAATGCCGATCTATAGAGGGGGTAAGCCAAATCCCCACTTTTTGTAAAAAAATTTTGGAAAACTGACAGGAGGATAAGAAAAAGAAAGAGAAGAGTTACCAAACCCAAAAGAAAGAGTGCG